TTTTTTTTTTTGAAAAATTGATCAAGTAATAAATTTGAAAAATAAGGAATATTATTGTTTATAAGTTGATTAATACATAATAGTCCGAAAGATCTGCTGCAGATATCTTGGATATGTACATTAGACTTATTTGCCGATTAATTCAATGAATATAACAATAAGAATATTAAATTAAGAAAAACTAATTTAAAAAATGGAAAATAATGAGCGAATAGCAATAATGCAAAAGAATTGAACGCTCGTAGATAAAATAAAAAATTTTCTGTTTGAAATGCAGAAATTAGAGAGATCCTTACTCTGGTGATCGAATTCCTGGAAAATAACTATGGTCTACAGGAGGTTTTTCACTTTACGTATTTTGTACTAGCCTAATGAGACTAGAGAGCATATGTGAGTTCCACATTTTAGCCTCATAGGACTACGTTAACAAATTTTGTCGGGTCTTTTTAAATTAAAAAAAATAATATTCAAACTCTCGAATGTAATTCTTAAATAAGCCTTCATAACAATCTTTCAATTGTTATTCGTTTTTGAATAGTTGCTTCTAGAATAAATCAATGCTCTAAAATAGCGATATGCTAAAAGATATCGTTACAGGCGATGGTCCATTAAAGAAAACTTTACCTTTCTCAAAAATAAATTTGTCTAGAATTTATTACAATTTCTCGAGATTTAAACAGTCATACATACCAATGATGCACATTTTTGTCCTCGTGATATTTCTTGTTGAAAATAATAATTGAAGTGAATTAATAAAAGTTTTTTTTAATGAATTTTCCAATGGTTGATCATCGTTTAAAGTTGTTAAGAAATTTTTCAATCCTTATAAAACATGATAAGTTATTGAAAGAGTTGAATATTTTGAACTCGATAGCAATGTTGTTACTCGATAAAATGGAAACAAAACAAATTTCGATGCTGATAAGTATAACCAATCAAGACGAGAAAACGATAACTTTTGAAGCTTCTGATATTGTTTTTTTTAAACCAATTCTACTACTAGGTGATAACGTGGACGTGGTATCATTAAAAATGGAGCTAATAGCAATAAAGCGTGATATCACAATGTACGTTGTATTCCATCGAATTCTAAAATCTAAAACAATATCCTTTAATTTGACAAGTTTTACATGTTATTGTTCAGCACGATGTTTTATTTGTGTTTTTTCAACTGAATTTGTCAACGAACGTATTGATCAAGAACACTTGATCCTCGAATGAATGTTGTTAGCTTTCTAACTCGTTTTAATAAATTATAAATCGTTGATGGCAATATATCAACATTAGAAACTGTTCCGATGATAATTTGTTCATTATTTTGAGATTGGTTATTTCCATCAACTTGTAATGAAACTTGTTCCTCATTTTCCATTTCATTTTTGCCTTCATCTTCATCATTATCATTAGAAGAATCTTCATCTGATGACATATTTGTAATCATGGAATCATTTGGAAAATCATATTCTCCTGAATCATCACTATCAGATTCATTTTCACTAACATCTTCTTCACGTAAATTGTCAATATCATCAATGATTGATGTTTCATCATAATCATCATCAATATTATTATTGTTTTGTTTTGAAGCAGTTGCAGTGGATGAAGATTTCGAACTGTAAAAAATGAATAAAAAGATTAACATTCAGTCTCCCAAAATGCTTTTATGTCCTTCTTTAGGCAAGCAACAAAATATTTCAGAGTATTTGAGGATGTCTTTATATTTGGAGCATACCAAAAGTAGTGATGCCATCACTATAGTATCTTATAGAAGACTTTAGCAAATTCTCTTTCTACAGATAATGATGGCTGTAGACGTTCTCCATAATTCTGCAAAATTGCATCATTGTTCAGGTAGTATCATAATACTGAGAGCATAGCGAATATACCGGTGGCTTGGCTTAAGAAAAAACAAACAAGTTGCTAATTTTTTTATTTCATCCAACGTCGCCCATGGTCCCTTTGAGTGTGAATGTATGGATTGACGATCTTGATGCGAGTGATTGCATGTGGGATGAGGGTGAATACGATATGGGTGTGCATGAAACAACGAGCAATATTCACTGGGCTATCCATGTCTGCACCGATTTCATGAAAGATGCTCTCTGGAAAGATGCGCCTGAAATAGTTGCTCGTCAGTGACAGGTGCTCCTAACGACACATACTCCCCCGAGGCATTTGCTTCCGCGACATGGATGTCCGTGTGGGTTGATGAAGAAGTGACGAATATTCAAATCCATAGTTACAGCCTCCTCCACACCTACCAACACTCTCAAGATAACAGTTCAGGTGCGGTAGTGAGTGTGGATCAGTATGGGAGAAACTGTGGCTGTGGATATGAATGTCCATTATCTCTTCACTCATACCCATACTCATATCCGTATTGTGGAAGCAAGTGTCTCTGTGGAGCAACTGTCGCGGAAACATCATCTGGGAAGTAACATTCGTGTTACCACTCATAGCTGACTCATCCTTTGTCCGCACAACCATTTGCATGATTTTTCCTATGTTGAGCGATGAAGAAATATAAAATAAATGTTAATTCTCGTATATTGAATTAACCCAAACACCAATGAGATTGCATATAATCGATACGTCAGTTTTGTTAAATTAACTAGTTACACAATAGGAACAATGTGTTAGCAATAGCTCATCATTGAAACGGTTCCTACGATTATATGAATTATCGATAAAGAATAATAGTTTTGTATCTTTGACAAGACAATTAATAATATTTCAGTGGAGATAATTCTAAGTAAAAATAAATTAACCATTCAATCGTGAATTACTGAATATGGTACCATTCAAACTAGCATGAGAGAATGTGGCATTTATTATTAAAATTTGATCGAATTGAACACAACTGAAATCTAATCGGCTAAGACTATCAGTTTCACAGTTTAGAATCAAATTATCCAAACTTAATCTATTCACACGAATTATATCTTTCAGAGTGTGTAAGTGTGAGGTAAGTGTGGGTATGGATGTCTGAGTGTGGAAGTAGAAAAGAAGTACACCAAAACACCCATATCGGTACACGGTATACTAATGAGCCAGTGAGTGGTACACCGGTGGACCACCGTCACCGTGCATCCCTACACTCGACCATTTATATCTCTGCGCACGTGTATCACTGATAACAAAATAACTTACAGAACGGCGTATAGACAAAAAAACAACTCTTCTATTTATCTCTTCGTGCTGAGTAACATTTGTTTGTTTGATAATACTTCTTCACATTAATAAAGAGACACAGGTAATTTTCGTTTTGGATATCAAATGAAATATAATGTATAAAGACGCGTCATTAGCAGTTTAGAGTATCAAACACATGTAATAGTGGTAGTTATCTGCTCACCCATTATTCTTCCATTCCTCCTTTCCACTCATTTCTTGTTCTTTTCTTCTCTCCCTTTTCGCCGGCTCGCGTGTGCGTATAAAAAGGACAGGTGAAAAGGATAAAGTCAGTGGTTACATACGAAATAGTATTTAGTAGAAAACAACCCTTTTTTTTGTACTATCGATAGCAGATTGAAATAAACTTGAAATAGTAATCTCTAAAAGCGATCTCTAACCAAATTTGGTTACACCCACATGCACTATATTCAAAGGCGTACTTGACCTCCAAATCCAAGAGATGTTAGGGGGGGGGGGGAAGGGTCAAGCTTTTCCCGCAATTTTACCACAGAATATTTTTGAAAAGTCTGCCATTCAGTTATTAAAAATTATCTCCCATAAGGCTTCCCGAAAGCACGATGGGGTCTCTCTCGCTGGTTTTAGACTCCTGACTATGTTTGCGTATATTGGGCAATTTCCTAATAATTTTAAGCAAAATCTGAGATAAATCATTACATTTATCCGTATATATTATATTCAAAAATAAATAGTCCTGAGAATGGTTGAAGATATGAGCTAGAGATTCATATAATTAGTTTGTACAATAAGTTTTTCAGCGTATCAAAAGCTCAACGACACAGATCTAGAAAAAAAACATAATGAGCTAAGAAATGCGATTGCGAAAATCTCCGTAATTTAAAAGTAAACAGTAAGTAGTATGGTATTTTCTAATTTACTTCTTTTAAGTTTTAGAAATATATTTATTTGATGGAAAGAATATTTTTAAGTCCAAGTCGTTATGTACAAGGCAAAGATGTCATTAAGAAAGCTGGTACATATATTGGTAAATTGGGTAGTCATGCTTTAGTTCTAGCAGATAAACTTGTATGGCAAATTGCTGGTAATAATCTTGCAAAAACACTTGAACAAAGTCATATTCAAGTGGAAAAGGTGATATTTAACGGAGAATGTTCAAATTCCGAAATTGAACGTGTTACCAAGCTAAGCAAAACAGCCAATTCGAATGTAATTATTGGTGTTGGTGGTGGAAAAACAATGGATGCAGCAAAGGCAGTAGCAAATAATTTGAATATAATGTTAACTACATTTCCAACAACTGCTTCTACAGATGCACCAACTTCCGCAGTATCTGTTATTTATACCGATAAAGGAGCTGTTGAAAGTTATAGATTTTATAATAGAAATCCTGATTTAGTTTTAGTAGACACACGTATTATTGCAAATGCACCTCCACGTTTTCTAGTATCAGGAATTGCAGATGCTTTAGCCACATGGGTAGAAGCTAGAGCTGTTAAACAATCGTGTAGTCGAATTTTAATAGGTAGTGCGCCGACTATTGCTGGACAGGCGATTGCCGAGAAAGCGGAGCAAATACTTTTTGCTCATAGCGTACAAGCACTTGAAGCTAACAAAAACAAATTGGTGACACCAGCCTTCGAAAGTGTTGTTGAAGCCAATACATTATTGAGTGGTGTTGGATTCGAAGCTGGAGGACTTGCAGCTGCTCATTCAATCCATAATGGTTTTACAGCGATAGATGGTGATATTCATCATCTGACTCATGGTGAAAAAGTAGCATATGGTACTATTGCTCAACTTGTCTTGGAAAATAGATCATTAAATGAACTAGATCGTTATATTCAACTTTATCTTCAACTTGGTTTGCCAGTAACATTAAAAGATATACATTTAGAAAATGCTACCGATGGAGATTTTAACAAGATTGCAGAGGTTGCAACAGCAGAACATGAAACGATTCATAATATGCCATTTAAAGTTGAACCGGAAGATGTAGTAATGGCTTTAAAAGGTGTCGATGCGTATGTGAAAAGTTATAAAAAACGTCATGGTTGGAAGGATGAATGAACATCAGATTTTTCTACTATAGGACATAAGTAGGCATGCATCGATACCAAAATTCTTGGTTTTGATGGTTTTGGTATTGGTGTAGTATTGATATCAATATTAAAGGATTTCTTAGAAGTTCTGAAACGATTTTAAAATTCGTCGTTTTGGCGCCTGAATAACAGCAAACTTTTTGGCATATTGATAGAGGGTGTGGATGTGGGTGTGGGTATAGGGGTGGGTGGGTAGATTTCAGGATGTGGATGGATGTGCGTGTAGGTGAGTGTTGTTCTGCTCTTAATCTACCCATAACCTACACCCACACCCTCAAGCGTCTTAGACCTGCGAAGTCTTTATCAGAGACGTGCTAAAGAATTTAATTGAGAGTACGAAGAGTAGATTCGGTGCGAGTCTTCAAAACTTTACGCACGGGAACTTCTGCGCATTAATGAAGACCTTAGCAATACCGTCAACTATTCTTACATTTTGAGAGTGTATGTGATGAAATCAGAGTAATCATGATTCGTTACGTAATATCTCAGCTAAGAACTATTTTCTGAATAACATTGCTTCATATGATTAGCTACTTACTGTGGAGAAAACTGAAAGATCGGAGAGCCAAAAGCTTACTTTCGAGACTGTGTTCTTTTTGGATTAGACTGAGTATGAAGAGCAAACAAGAATGTGCACGGCTGTATATATTTTCTCCAATCGTTGCAAAAAACCAAAAGAACGACTTGAGAGAGAGAGAGAGAAAGTATTTATGAGGAGCATAAATCGAAAGCAGAAGAAAATGAATGCTACTATTCAAAACAAGTGAGATATATAAAGACAGATAGAAAGAGGAATGAAAACAAGTGAAAATATGAAGTGCTTCAAAACGGCGAAGACAGAGACGAAAGAAAAAAAAACGAATCAGAGGAAAAATTAATGCTACTAGTTAAAACAAGCGGGACATATATAGAGATAGAGCGCAAGAGTTGAGAGACACATGAATGCGACGAAAATACAGAGGCGAGTAGAGATACTCAAGGCACGACATCTCTGCAACTTGAAACCTTCTCTGTAAAAACATTAGCCAATTGATTCTGTCCCGTAACTATAGAAATATTCTTCTATACTTACAATCCATAACAACAATATACTTAGGTGTATCCAAAAGTAATGTCGAAGGTATCTTATCTCCTTATAAAGGGGTCAAAACGAAATTCTTTTTTTATGAAATCATAGTGCAAATGAAACTCTACTTTTCTATACTATTTCATCACTTTCCAACTAGTATTATACTAATAAAATTTCGAGCAGAACTATTTTTGTATGAAACTTAACGGTGATATTATGTAATATTATCGTCCATTTCTATACAATTTTTGGTTTGTCTCTGTTCTTCTTTTCTGTTTTCTCGTCGCTTCTGTCGCTTAGCGGTCCAGCATATTCCATTAGTTGCGTGTACATATAGCTTATTCGTATACTTTCGAGAGAGTCAAACGATAAAAGCCGAATTAAACTTATCAGTTTAACTGCTTTTAATGAGTACGGAAAACATTCGGTCCTACATCAAAATGCGTACTGCACTTAATATTGAAGTACGAGTTATTTCTGAAGAAGTATATTCTGTTCATGCTGGTCAAGCTCCTTGTCTTAGAACAGTTGAAAAATGGTGTAAACGGTTCCGTGAGGATCAAGAAGAACTTGAAGACAAAGCACGACCTGGTAGATCTTTTACTGAAACAACTCGTGAGAATATCGAACAAGTCCGTCTTATTATCGAAGATGATCCTAGTGTTACAATAGAAGAAGTGCAAGAGCAAACTGGTTTAAGCTACGGTACCACTTAGCGGATCGTCACCGACCATTCACAACTTACCAAAATCACCTCTCGTTATTTATCGAAGGAACTCACTGACTTCCAACAGAATGAACAATTCCAATGACCCAACATAATAAAACTTATTCTTAATACACAAACATTCATCATTATTTATCACTATCAATTAATGAACTAATAAATTTTATTTAAAGCTTCTCTTTTGTTGCATTACATACGATAGCAAAACTACCTTTCTATAATCAATCAAGCACCATATTATGCCAATTTCAGTATTTCTTTACATTTCTCCTAAGTTCAGTTCCATAATATCATACTTCAAAACAACCGCTAGAGATTGCAAATTAGCCTCAAAAATAAAAATACACAACAAAAACAACAGATTGTATCAATAACATTCAACCAAACAACTACACAGGAAATCCAGATCGTGGTAGCTGTACTCATCCTCATCCTTCAAGACGAGAATAGCGTATTCTTAACGGCGAAAGCGTAAGTGTCAATTTAAAAATGGTTTCTGCAGTGATCGTGATTTAGAGTCGAGCTGCATAGCCTTCATGCTGACGTGAAAAAACATAACCAATATATTTCTTATCCAAACTACTTAAGACTAATTCTGAGTTTAAAGGAAAAAAATGCAGTATGAGTGTAGATAAGAGAAGATGTAAGTATCAAATCCATCATCCATCCACACTGATCCTCAAAAGTCTTAGTGCTTTATTAAAAGTATGATTCAGTTCTGCAGTTTTAAAAGTCAAACGTATCAAATACATTGCTTTAGAAAATCAATTCTTTTCAATTATTGTCTAATCGAAAAAGGTTTTCGACTCCACGTATATTTGCTGTCTTCTCGACGAAAATCTGATCGAGACGATGCGCTTGTTTGTCGCTCATAATTGATGACCAACCATTGACGACGCCTTTTCGTACTAATACGAGTTTGTCACGAGTTTGCAAGCCATGCTTGCCAAAGGGCAAATGTGTAGTGAGCGATTCATTGGCAAGTGCAATGCGTGCTTGAGCTATGCATGCCTTATCATATCTTTCCTTCATATACTCGAACGAGCTGCATGTAGTAATTCGCTCGAGCAAATCATCATTAAGGTCAATGTTCAGAAACTGAGCAAGTCGACGAATGATGGAACGAAAATCACGCGTCACTTCTTCATAAGATGTCAGAAATACATTGCCATTATCCTTGTGTTTCCAGACAGTATGTAGGTGTTGGAAATAATCACCATAAGGCAGTTTTCCGTTGATAAACGCTTCAAAAAATGTCTCAAATGAAGTTTTGTTAGGCTCTTCATCATATATTTTAAGAAGAAAGTAATAATAAGAGACGCATACGTCCTTTGGATTTCGTACGACACAGACATATTTAGCTTTCGTAGGATGAAAAATACGATCCAAAGGTAAATGAGTATTGATAACATATGGTCGATGCATCTTATGTATACCTTGCTCCCCTACCTTTTCCAGAGTAGCTGTATGTGCAAAAAATTTGGCCATATTATCATCGAATGACCTACCATCATTCATAAGTGTGTATAGAGCAACTTTCATCCATGTTGTGCCTGATTTAGGATACGTAGAAAGGAAAACATCGTCGATCTGTGGCTTGTAATTCAATGCTGAACGAACTATTTCAGAGTCTGTAGTTGGAGAGAGTAGAATACCATCGACCACTTGAAGATTCTGATGCACGTTGATCATTATGATGATCCTGAAATTAATTTTACGTATAGATATAACAGTTCTAATCGCTGTTCATAAGTAGAAATGTGCATATGTATCTGAAACCCAAAAAAAGCTACGTAAGTAATATATTCATATATCTAGCAAAGGAGTAAGATGCTGTCAAAATACTAGGTCACATACTGATTTGACACTATAGATACAGTACTGCGAACAAAAGATATTCACCGCCATGTTTTACACAGTGAGTATGTATATAAGGTGCATTCCTATATTCCTAAAGAATATTTTGAATCTCATTGTTTTGAAACATATTCTTTTGACTCATGCCAGAGTAGATATCAACACCACTAAAGTGCAAACGACTGTCTGATGTAGTCTCTGTTCTCAAGACAAAGTAGCAGGCTTTCCTTGTAATGGGTGCGGTAAAATAAATAGGGACGTTGAGTTATGTAGATAATCGTTTCGTGTTCTGTTCAAGCGAAGTAACTGTTTTTTGTAAAAAATATTTATTTCATAAAATTGTCTACAGAATCATATAAGACATTTTTTAAAATTGATTCAATAGAATAAAAGTAGAAATAGTTATAATTAAAATACTGATAGACAATATAGTCGAATCAGATAAAATCGTAAGAAGACCGAGAAATAGTTGAACTGGTTAAGTGTAAACACCATGTCGACATTTCACCATTTTATAATGGTGACATAGATTTTTCCATAGATTTATTCACAACAATAAACCGATCTCTTTTCTTTCTCACTTACCTTTCTTTCGTGTACCACACACAGCTACGAACAAGAAAGAGAATCAACTGTTTGTCTCTCGTTTCGTTCTTTGTGGTGATGAAAAAAGACGATTCTTATCTTATTTTTGTTGTTGATGATTAACATGTCTTGGTAAAAAAAAAACCTTGGTTGAGATTACACAACAATTATGCAATTCATTAATGATCAATAAGACCTCTTATTATTAACAAGTTCTTTTTCTTTCATGAATGGTTGGAAAGAAACTAACTATTAGGTTGAAGGAATAGACAGATCTAGAATATTCCTTTATGTATTAACACCAAAAGTAAAAACTATAATTGCATAATACAAGTCGAAGTAAATGGCAAGCATTGAGTCGTTGTTGTTTCTCCAATGAAAAAGTTTCAAATAAGCCTCTATCACTGGTCCGATGAAGATGAGTTAATTTCTTATTGTCATATTTTGATGGTGAATGAAAGTGAGGATAGGTGAGGAGTACATGCGGATGAGGAAAGGATATACGTTTTGCTCACTTGTATCTACATCGTCAATATTGTTTCGTTTTTCTTTTTATCCAAATCGCATCATTTTTAATCACATTAGAAAAACAAATAAACATCATTAATTTATTGTCTGTTGAATATGAAATTTTTGTACTCGAATATTTTTAAGACCATCGACATACAGATTACCGTGTCGATCGAGTGATAAACCAACAGCTTAACAAAATTGATCCAATTGGTCTTCTTGATCGTTTCCACTAGCAATGAGATTGCCTTGTATGACTCCTTTTGACCAACGCATTATTCGATGATTCTCCTAATCAGTCGCATAAACAGTACTCAATTGATCCACAACAACTCCTTGAGGACTATACGATTGTGTAAGATTATTTTCTTTTCCATGACCACCGGCTACAACAATGCCTTCTTTTACATCTACTTCCCATCCTATGGTACGATGATTTCCCGCATCCGATACGTACACTGCATGATCACACTCGACAAATACGTAGCTGGGACCATAGAGTTAATCGAGAGGATTCCTTTCCCACAGTCATCTGCAACTACTGTTCCTTTGATATCACCCATTCGATATCGTTTTACTTCATGTTTTTCATTGTCAACGGCATAGAGAGATCCCTTCTCCTCCATTGACAAGTCGGCACAATCAATATTCGAGATGATTGTTTCTCCACTAGTAGTACCATTTCGACGAAACCATTCAACTACTCTTCTATTTCATGTATCACTGGTGATGAGACTATCTTTCTCTTTGTCGATAATCACATCCCAATGACCCTTTAACTTCTTGTTTTAGTTCACTGGAAGATTATGAAATGTTATTACGATTAGATGAAAACGTACAACAACCAACAGTTCATTCTCGTATTCTCGACACAATGAAAACGATAAATGCTGATCAAAGACACACAGATCAATCGTGTACTATATGCCGAGATGCTTATTTGATTGAACAATAGTTGAAATTGTTGTCCTATTCTCATTTTAACCATTTGATTGGGATTTAAACTTATCTCTCAAACTTTTGCATACAATGTCTACTCGACAATATATCACTCTTGTGATTTTCGTACGTCTTCAATTGTTTTTCTCATTGTCTATGACTGCGATTCATCGCATATTTCCGTGATTCTTGTTGATTTTCGCCATTAATCTCCAAAACTGTCGTGATTTTTCTCAGCATGGATAATCCTAACTTTTCTCTTAGAAAACACAACATTTAATTTTCTACAAACTTTCGCAAAACTCCAACATATTGACGTTTCTCGATGCGAAATGAGCACAGATGTGACATGATCCAATTTATCAGGTGAATACGAGAGCCAGAACAATGAAGACGGTAATTAAGATCTATAATAGATCTATGAAAAGACCTCAAACAATTTTTTTTTTGTGTTGATCATCTCATATCAATCACAAGGTAATCAGTTAGTTCGCTCAAGACAATCATTTTGTCATTTGATTTGTCATTGTGTAGATGATAGTTTCATGTGTCCATTGACTTTCTTTGAGAAGTTCAAAATGATAGTGATGATGATCGAGTCAAATCCTGAATGCAAGCAATTAATATTTGATGAAAACCTGAAGAAAAATTCTTTTTTTGTAGTTCTTACATCTCGATCATGTTGCTAGTCAATCCTCTTCTGATCACACGAACTTTTTCGATGAATTAAGAAAGAAATTTTCGTCGAGAATGATTTTCAATTGTATTAAACTGCTCACTTTACTCTAGATTAAGATCTCTATCGTTTCTTATTCTCACAACTAAACTTTTTGTTACATGAAATTTACCTCAACGACGACAATTTCATATAGAATGTGTTGAAACCAGTTCTTAAGACCATTAAGAAAAATGATATCAAAAACTGCTTCGATGAATGATACATTTTAATGCACACATCTATATCTCACTGCTCCTTATATTTTATTCATTTTCTAGACAAATGTTTACATACATTTCTATTGTTATTAGAAAGTTCTGTGAAAGAAGAAGCTGTCGCCTATCTTCTAGTCTTCTATCATTTGTCGTAATTTGTGCATTGTTTTGTCATGCAAGCTTTCCACGATATGAAGAGGAATGACGGGATCGGCACTAACAAACATTATCGTCAAAACACCATTGACGGTTTGGACCATAGTAAAAGGCATAGGTCCTTGGATCATATTAATGAAAGGTATCATCGCTGTAAGTTTCCATCTTCCGTACTGTTCACAAAAGGGCAATATACCCCAGCTAGAGATTGCAACAGTTGGCAGATCCGTAAAATTGGGCGAATCTATGGTCTTCTCAAAGAATTTTGCCATAAGCATACCGCAAGCAAGAACTTGACCAGCATCGATAGACGTCTTCATAAAATGACCGATGGTTTTTGCAAGCTGCCATATTTCCTCGAGTGTTGTTGGCACGTCTCTTGTACTCATTATGAATGGCAGCATGCTTGATACATGATAACTGAGATCGTGGTTCGGAACGGGAGGTACACAACGTCGTCGGGTATCGGCTCCGATAGAAACTGTCAGTATACTCTCCTGATTGTCGTCAACATTTATTAATGTAGATATAGAACATAGAATGGCACTGCTAACAGCTGATGTAACCGTTACTCCCACTTGGCGGCACTTTTCTACTAGCTTTTGAGTTTCTGCTTTGCTCAATGAGCCGTGTACGATTTCAGTATGACAGTATTTGGCCATATCAATCAAGGAAAAATCCACTTTTCCAAGAGGTACTCTGGCGATAGGTGATTTTGTCGTTGCATGTAAGTAGAGGGTCGACACAGCAAATTTTCCGAGAGTGAGGAACCTGTCTAATGTTGATAGGCTTCCTTGTATAGCAGCTTCCATAGTCATTGGCCAGTTCAACGATTCATTTGTTAGTTCGCTATCGTTTCCACTCAAGACGATGAGGAGCTCGTGGGCTACGGTACTCAGAGACAAACCATCGCTGATGCAGTGCTCACATATGAGGACAACTTCGCGTGGTCCATTTTCATCTTCATCATCTGGATCCTAAAAGAAGAAATGTGTTAGACCCATTTCTAAAATTTCATTTGTTCTGCTGAAATTGAATCATAATATTTTCGAATACTATTGAGAAAGTTGCTCCTTTCTACAAACTTATTGAAGTTGATCTGTACCTGCAGGAGCCAGAATTTGGCTAGCCCTTGACCAATCATTGTCGTCTCTTTTTCTCGTTTTTTCCATTCATGACGCCAGAAATTGAGATGATCATCACGTTTTCGTGATATTTCGAGAATCTCGAGCCGAAGTGTATCATCTTCCTCGAATAAATAACTGTTTGCATTTGCAGGATTGTGTTGAAGACGACTTCGAAGCATAGGATGCCGACGCTGTAGGAAGGCAATCGCCGCACTTAGCTTTTCCAATGAGATTCGAGGACCTTGTAAATGGAGAACTTCCCCAAGTTTCCAGTGGCCTTGATATTGTTGTGACATCTTCATGAAGAGATTCTCTGTTGCACCGAGAACCCGCTGGTTCGGGTTAGAAGTAGGCGAGCTTTGCCAAAGCCACGTGAACATTTATTCACGGCTAGTTGGATATGGATTAGCTAAAGTGAGTCTTAAATACTGTGTCGTTCTTGGTTGCTCCTACAGAAAGTAAATTAATTTGGAATACTTCATGTTCATTATCAATCTATTGAGATTTCTAATACTGCAAAAGACGAATTCATCGTGTTTGTTTAAATATTTAGCTATTCTGTGACTGACTACACGGAACTTTCGGCTTGTTTTCCTACCTTCCAGGAGAACCGAAATAACTCCATCGTTAGAATGGATACAGAGTTCGGACTATCTTCAAATTAAAGCTAGCCTCTGTGCGCAACTTTTCATCGAACGGAATTTTGAAACTCCCTTCCATTCATTTTTTATGGTCATTTTTGTGGACATGGTGTGCAAAATAAGTATAAAAGAATGTCACTCCAAGGTGTGGGGTGTAGGTGGGTGTAGACGGTTTTTATTCCCCATACCTACACCTACATCCTCTTCCCACTCAGTAAAAATGGATCTCAGATTAGATACACTCAAATCACACGAAGTTTTCAGAATATGTTGAGACTTCGAGGAATTATCAGTTGTATACCATAATATTTGAGACAATTATTCACCGAACAAGGGAAAAAAATAGGTCATTTGGCGATCCAAAGTTCTTTCTGGACTTTTATTCGATACGTATATTTAGTGTTTTTATTTGAAAGAGTATGTGAGGTTGCAGTGCCTAACAGAGTCTTTTCTGCTTAAATTCTTACTTTTTAAGCAGAATAAAGTGATGAAACGTTCAATTCCTCAAACACAAAATGCGTCACAAATCGAGATCTATTTGTAGAAGTACTTTTTTATATGATAATAACAAACAAGCTCTGATAAGTACTGCAGTTTTACACGCTCTCTCAGACAAAAAGAACATAAACATATGGAATAAAGATCCACAGAAAAATCTGATAAGTGCGATCAAAGTAGTATAGAGAGAGAGAAGAAATTCAAAAATTTTTTCGTTTGATCTGAAACATGCATACTTTTCAACGCAAATCATCAAATATTTTGGAAGAAAAAACATGTTAAATAAAAAATTATATTGTTTTTGAAAGACGGCACATCAAGCTATTCGCTCATGCGTTCATGTGAATTCCGATAATTCTGACGAAAATAGATTTTTTTTCTGGAAGAGAAAGAAGTTAATTTGAAACAAAAAAGGAAGAAATCGCACTCTCATAAGAGCATTAAGAAAAAAGAATTCAATAATAATTACTCGGGTACAAGCATCGCTGTCTTTGCATATGACTCTTGTTCGTTAATTTTGTGAATGATGAAGAAGATATTACACAAAGTAATGAACGTAAGAAATGTACGACGAGAGAGAGAATAACCAATCATGATCAAAGTTCATTTTTTCTTTTTTCTCCTTGCTATAGATGGATGTTCGAGAGAAAAATGAGCGAGAGAGGTCAACTCTCGAACACATGACCAAATCAAGAAGAGAAACTTATATTTGAGTAGCGTCAGAGGTAAGAAAGAGAACATGAAGAAATACAAAGTCGAGTGAAAGTAAATGGACACAAAAAAAATCGGTGTTTTATCTTCCACAGCTCGTATCTCTCTTATTTTTGAAAATACAAAAAAAATTTTGGTACAAATCATGTAAAAGAAACATTCGTCTATCGATTTATGTTTTCAGAAACCGTTTCACGATACATCTTCACACAGGTTTTTTCAAGATCTACCCTCAATTATGCCCATTTACTTCGTACGGGGTAAATGGACACTGCCAGCGATTCTTAATAGAAACAATAAAACCTAATTTCTGAAGCCATTTTAAGTTAAATTTCGTTCGGACTTGTGTCACTCTATAGTGCAAACATTTCTCTAGAATCCTATAGTAATCATGGCTTTAGAATCTTAGGTGGATCCAAACACCAGTGCTTCTACAAAGAGATCTAGAAGAAAAATCTGTGCCCATTTATCCCATTTGAGGTAAATGAACACTTTCAGCTATTTTTACTGTGACTTGTAAAATCTAATTTTCAAGCAATTTCAATATTATTTTGAATAGAATTTTTCTAATCATTCATAACTACTGTAGGGTAATATCCTGAAATAGTTTTAAATCTTTATTATTATTGTAAAGCATTTTATATTCTGCAAAATGTTAGAACTCAAAAAAGAAATCAAAGATTAAAGACATTTTTTGGAAGAGTTATTCTTCACGTAAAAATAACATTTTGTCAAATGTCATTTTTTTTTCAAATTTTATTTTCTGGAATGCAATAAATTTTTGAGCCATTGTTATGAAATATAAAAAGAAAAGTCAATTGAATATTTTCTAGAACGAATTTGACTCTACAAATTGATATATAAAAATATTTTCTATCGTTTGAAATGAGACAATTTTAATCAAAATATAAAAATAAGTAATAGGAAAAATTCTATACAGATACCTGTTTTCAATCTATTCAAATATTTGCTCTTAATTAATTGATATAAAATTAGAAAGTAATTTTGAACATACATTTAGAAAGAACATGAAATCCTGGTCTTAAATTGATACTTTTTATTCTCTTAAGTGATATCGACGTCGTAGGAAATTAAATAAAAATTTTGTGGCAAGATTTTCGCACTCTGCGTTATTTAAAATGCCAGAAATAAGGTTATCTTCCTAATTTTTTGCTTCCAATCAAAGTCCTTTGATATTTGATGCATAGTTATATCAAAACAAAAAATTGGTAAAATGAACATACTTGGTATTCATTGATTTTGCCAACAGCAAAATAATTTCATTCTGGATGAACTATATAAAGTCCTGAAACAGCTGATGATGGTTGCATAGCAAGTGATTCTGTTACTTCAATTTCAATTGCTTCTTTACCATTTAATAATTTTCAAATAGTTCTTTTTTCTGTATGATCTGGTTGTATTGAATAACCAGCAACTAATCTAATATCTTGATATTTGATTGAAAGTAAATCTTTAATTGATAAATTTTCGTTCGGTACATAAATCCATAGTTCTTGACCAATATATTCATATAAGTATTGAACACATGCTTCAGCTAAATGATCACCTAATAATTTTAATATAATTGATGAATAATCATTAGATTCCTACAAAACAATTGAGGTTAAATCTACATAAACTATTTGATTTATTGACTTTTTCTGCTAATATTTTTTGTTTCGAAATATGTGGGTGTGCGTGTGGATGCGGTGGATGTGGGTGTGTGAGTGTGAGTGTCGGTTTGGGTATGGATCTCTATTCAAATAAGAGATCCACACCCACACTCGGGAATCCTGAATTTTTCCTGGGTTCGGTGCATACCTAATAGGAAGAAAAAAATACAAAGTAAGCTGCTTCGTTTTCAACTATTAGTAACTGTTTTATGGTTTATTGACTTTTCGTGACTTTTTCTTTTACTCATCATCTATATATTGTGTTAAAGCACCGTATATTCTGTTATATCAATATCACAACAAGATCAACATCTACCTGTGCAATTATATTGCTATACATTCGAGCACACTGATATCGCTCTTTTGTGCACTTTTGCTTTCTATTCTTGTCTTCGTTGGCTGATAATAGCAATACGGCAACGACAGAAAAGAGCGATTCTTTTATATGGTTATCTATAAAACTGTGACACTGTCGACGCTTTTTTTTTCAACTTGAATAGCGTGCAATTGCAAGGACAATCTTGCCTACGTGGTGTAGTCAAAATGGCAGGTGTTGCTCGCCTGAGATATACTCTGCGTGAAATTGAGTCGAATGCTTATCGAGTTGTCTGGCTGTCGGATGGAGAGATAACGGCGATTGACACCGTATCATTGCTGCAAAATGAACTCCACCATTTTCAAGTGTACACCGACCCCAGTGAATGTTTTACTTACCTAAAACGCACCAGTCATGATGTCAGCATCTTTCTTATTCTTTCACCCGCTGGCATGTTCTGTGCATCTAACACTTCGTTCGTCAATTTGAAGGCCTCCTATCAGTTTAATCATGATACGTTAACCGATGACTTATGTGCAGCACTTAGCCATGATCTACTCGTGCATGTGCCGCGTTTCTCACCTATTCTGCGTGTTCAAAATACCGAGGAAGCCGCTATTGAACAAGAACATCTAGAGAGGTGAGTTTCTAATATACTGTTGAAAGATTTTTGGGAGTTTGATTTTCGGAAGTATCAACAACTAATGAATTTTACACAAGGCGTTTTTTATCATATTTTTGCTACATTGTAACCCTAGTAGTCATTATTCCAAACTACAGTTCATATTTCTTGCAATTGCTATAAAGTAGGCAAGAAAGAAACTGGAAAAGTTCAGTTTAGAATGTGTTACACCAAAAGAAATGTAATCTATCTGTGAGTTCATTTTGAGAGGCATTGATCTTTTAGAATTGTTCGTACTTCTCATGTTATTGTGCAATCCTCAGATGGTTCGTCTTTTTCTAGTAAAGAATCTATGCTACTAATCAGATGCCAATTTCAGCATCACCAATCGTACTCTTCTTATTCACTTAGAAGGACAAAAGTCTTATCGATGATCGGTAGAATGACACTTAAGATATATTTCTTTTTTTTAGTCTGCGAATATACAATGATTTTGGATAGAACTTAGCACAAAGATTCTCATTAGACTTAGAGAGTGATCTAGCATCGATTACTGAATTTCGACTGCTTCTTCAAGCTCTATTTCACATTAATAGAGATGTCGATATTGCAGAGGCTCATGTCGACATAGTGGCTGCCCTTCGGAGTGCATGTAAGACAGAACAACAAAACAATGACGTGAACGAATTTGAGACAACATATCAGACCGAACTTGCTCTGCTATGGTACACAAAAGCAAGCCTTATTTACAAGCAACTCAACAACATCTTGCGAGAAGGCAATATCGATAGTCTCTTTGCACATCGTCTTCTTATTCGGGATATTCATAGGCAACTCGTACAACTACATAATGAACAAAAGCAAGGAGGAGCAAAGAGGGTCTATCGTGGTCAGCTTATGCCAGTATCAGTACGGCGAAAATTGCAAATGAGTGTAGGTGGCCACATTTTGATTCCAAGCATGCTTTCGACAAGTACTGAGTTATCGGTGGCCAGCATGTACGGTGGGGAAGTATTGACGTCGGTTCTATTTCAGATTGAGCTAGATTGGGAGAATGAACATGCATTCGCCAATATATCCAAATATACACAATTTGTTGACGAGAACGAAGTCTTATTCTGCTCTGGTACCGTATTTGTTATTCGCTCTGTTGATTGGATTTCGACCCATGGAGCATGGGTTGTCTGTTTAGAGTTGGCTGATGAACTAAGCGAGGAGTTACGCAATAGACTAATGGATGTCCAACAGTTGCAGCCTCATTTTAAGCCTGATATTTTAATTAATCAAAATATGACAATTGTTGAACACTTTGCACACATACTACACTTTTTTGGACGTTCAGCATCGACGACCGGTCCCTATTGGAAACGAGCACTACGTGATAGACTTTCTTCAATTGACAAGACAAATACACCTGCCATTTGGTTGTCTATTGGTAAGATGTACAGTTATTTATGCGACTATCAAGAGGCACTCGGGTGCTTCGAGCGAGTCGTCACCTTTTCGCACGATGCCCGGTTACAATTAGCTGAAACATATGCTTGCATTGGTCAGTCCGAGAAAGCGCTCGAACATTACACGATTCTGCTCAACATTCTTCCTTCGGATGCCCATGTTCAACGAGCTCAAGTGCATTGTAACATGGCTGCTATTTATACTATGAAACCATTCGATTTTAATGCGGCTCTATTCCACTATCAGAATGCACAAAATCTCGTTCTTGACGATAGCAGTTGTTGTCTACTTTGGGTATACATGACTGGAGCTACGTTATTCTTATCTATGAACGATGCCAGTAAGGCCTTAGAACAGCTTCATGGCGCTTATGACCATGTTAGCAAGTTTCTCCCGCGAATATTTCAATGTGACATTGACTATTCTATCATGGTTACGTACATCTTACTCGGTCAACTCGATAAGGCACGCTTTCACGGAGAGCGCGCTCGTGATCTTCATCTTCGTGTATTTTCACCCGATCATCCTCGACTTAAACGCATTATGGGCCATTTAGCAACCATTCAGGCAGCCAAAGGTGATGCAAGTAGCACAGAAATGTATTTCAATCAAGCACTCACATCTGTTAATGACACAATAGCAATAACACCGCAAGAATTAATTCTTATTTATTGGAATCGAGCAGAATGGCTTGTTGAGCAGAACGAATATGTTCAGGCCGAGCAGCATTTTTCCAAGGCTCTCAATCTCTTGACTCTGAATAATAATACTACCGGAACGACCGTTCACGTTGCTTTACTTCTTTCCATCAGTAGTTTCTATCAGACCGTTGGCCAATTCGATTGTGCTCTTGATATAGCGTTACTAGCGTTGAACACGTGCAGGCAATCATCGCACATAATGTCTATCAGTGTTGCGCAAATCACAGTTTCTCGGTTGTCCATTAGACAAGGTCATTATAAGTTGGCTCTCGAGCACGCCCTGGAAGTATTGCAGCGCACTGAACTGCAGTGAGACGCCTTTGGGAGACATGGTCCTGATCATAATCTGCTGCCAATGTCACTTGCCATAGCCGGCGATTGTTACCGACGCTTAGGTTATTTTGATAAGGCATTAGAATTGCTTCAACAATCGCTTGAAGTATTATCGACAGTAAATGATCAAGATCAAGCAACAAACAGGCAATTGACATTCGTGTTTATACGTATTGCTTTAGTTTTTTGCGATCAAAGCGATAATGAACAAGCCCTTTTATGGATTCGTCGATCGTTTGATAGTAATGTGGCGCGGGATGGAGTGCACCAAATTTTGTCGTATTTGATATTAGCCATAATCTACTGGCAGCAGGGTGATTTGACTCAAGCACAAATTAATTGTGAAAAGGGCTTTTCTATTTCACTGAGTTCCAAGGACGATCCAGCGCCACTTCTCGCCCGACTACACATGCTGCTCGGTCATATTGCACGAGCACGGTGCGACTATGATAAAGCATGTGAAGAGTACGAATCGATTCTCAAATTGCGTGTCTCTCATTCAACTTTCTGCGCCTAAACGAAAAAGAAAGAGAAACACAAGAAAAATGAATAGTCAAGTACTCTAGCTGATAAATTGCGACATGATGATGCGCAACTTCCACCGCTGCATCCAGATCATGCCAGTACTCTACAAGCATTTGGAAGGCTGGACTATTTGCGAAGCAATTATGAAAGTGCTCATATTCAATTACAAAAAGCCTTTGATATTCAGAGTACTGTCTTACTGTCAGATCATCCTGAGACTAAGCAAACGCGATCTTACCTTGAAGACATCAAGAAAAGTGAACTGCAACCGAGCGTGAATTAGTTCTCTTTCCAAGAAAACGATTTTTTTTCTCTTTGAAAATAGAGAAAAAGTTGTCTGTTTTGCTTAACTTTCTGACATTTATGCTATAAAAAAAAACCAAGAAAAACTCGATAAGTAGCAATTGACGAAGGGTGTGAGTATGGGTGTGGATATGGATCTTCTTTTCATTCACTCTAACACACACATCAACAAATCGACACTCATCCACACACACCTCACTCACACCCTAATTTGATAGGGTGTGGATGTAGGTGTACTTTTCTTTATCTTCTAGTCATACGCTCACTCACATTTTCACTCACACCCATTTATATATTACGTATAATGTGGGTGTGGAGAAGAATTACTCATAAGCACAAACACACAGGAACTGGAACCCCACACTCAAAGTACATCATCATTCTCGCCCATACCCACAATGTCTTTGCCACGGTACAAGCATCAAGACTCGAAAAAGTTATACACAAAAAAGCGAATACAATTGTGAAATGATCATACAGGCAATTGTTTGTAGCAATAAAACGTTGGATACCCTATCTATCCACCTATGATAAGAAGGAAGCTATTCGGGCCGCCACCTCTGTTAGCCAACCAAAAACTGATGGTATAGTTGGCACCGACCACCGTTGTGAATGTTTGACTGAGATAATCCGAATATGTTACTGAACCATCATAGAAACTATAGCTGTCTGAGTGAACGCATGATGACGATATGACACCGCTGAAACTAGCTCCATTTGGATTACAATAGGTATAATATTGAGTCAATGGACTCAGTTCAAAACCACCATTTTGCCACATTTGTACGCCATTGTTAGTAACTGAAATGTCATCTAGACACCAATAGCTAGGATCTTGACGTAGAGCTAGCATCATTGTTGTATTAGTTGATGTTGCAACAAATGTATATTGGTAGTATGTATAAGAAAATGACGCTACATTTGAAAGATATAGTAGAGTAGTGACCGTACCTCTTAGTATTGCCGTGCATGTGTTGTTCAAAACGGCTAAATTAAAATGAAAGAACGTTTGTACGTCAACTCAAACAAATACTTAAACTTTCTAATTTGAATCAATCAACATTGTTTTTCAATAAATATCAGTTAAGTACTTTTAAAATTATATTACACTCGAAGAAAATCATTGTTCTCATATAAATTTCGGTACCATTATTTCGTATAATTCTAATTATATTTCAACATACTTTAGGAAAACAATTTGTTCAAAATAAAAATGCCTTCTCTCTGCATTATATTGATTGATGTAGTGAGCATGAATCACTTTTTGTTTTCTAGTTTTGCCCCGACATTCTTGACTATTTATCCTAATTCATTCACCAAAAGATGTCTCATGAAATTCTCTACAAGAATATATAATGATGTTGAGCTATCGCAAATAGATCTGCCAGATCTATACAATGATCTCGACTCGCTAATTTCTTGCGATATATGCCATGTTATCAATCAAAAACTGAGTCTAGAAGTTATACATATTTTCTGAAAAAGAGTGACAGAAGGGACTTTTTCAAGATTGACTTGCTCGTTTTTCGCAGCTTTTTTCATTCTTCGAAGATCATGTGTAAGAGTAATATCACATCTCGTTTGATACATCTTGATGGTCTCTATCTTTCGATGAAATCGAATTTTTAATCAAATGCACCACGGTCAACTATTCAGACAACATAACTTGAGAATTTCAGGGCACGTAATGATTGGGTTAAGTCCCACCTCACACCATATAACTATAATATTTCAATTTCTTATACAAATGATAGCTTCAACTGTCCTCTATCGGAATATGAAAGAATAGTCTTCTTTGAACGGCAACTTATATGTTAAATTTTCATGTTTCAAATTTGAGATCAAACATTCTTGTATATTCTTGTAGAGAATCTCATCGTGCATCAGTTTGGCAAAAATAAAACGATTCAGATTGTATGAAGATAAACACAATAAAAAGCCATCCATTTTCACTGAGTCACTCGATTGTTTGGACTTACAAGATGGTACATTAACTGTTGTCGTGGTGGCTATTGTTGTAGTGTCTATGCATATTATGAAAATAGATCCCTCAATAATATAAAAGGTTCTAGATGAATCTTACTCATTGCAGATGATATTGTTGTAGAAGTTGAATTGCTTGGTGTTGATGATGCTATTTAAATAGAAATAAATAGAATGAAATCTACTATTTTGTATATTATTTTTAGCATTGTCCCATGTTACTGATATTTATATCGTACCTATCATATTTGAAGCTAAAATTCCAGCTGCGATGCCACCACCCGTTAATAGCAATAATAATAAGAGCAAAAGACAGCAGCACCATGGTGAAAAAAAACAACATCGACATCTGAAAATTGATGAAAAATCCGATTTAACAAAACAATTACTTAATCAAATTGGTGATGCTTTCCTTTTTTGAAATTTTTTCCAACATGATTCATTTTTGAAATTGTTAGTGTTGTCGTTGACCATTTGCTTTTTCCTGTTGATATTCGGATGACAATTTGTGTTATTGATGAAAGTAATGCTTTATTATTTCAGCTTCACACTAACTGATTTCAAATAGATTAAGAGTGGAAAATGCTACAAAAATACTCTTAGTCAAAAGGACAATCATATTCATGAAGGCTTTAGTTCATTTTCAATTAATCATTTTTAATCAGTAACTCAAACTCTATTAGAACATACACATACATTTCGATGATTGTTACAAAACATTTCAAAATATCTGTACTCATCAATGAGAATTAATGCGCCTGAAAATCAAGTGTTGATTCTCTCTGGACACATTTGCTATCATTTGAATCGATATATCGAAGAAAAACCAGTACTCTTTCGTCCAATAACGTTGCTTAGCAAGAAGGTAGAATACAATCTCATCTAACTATATGTTTTAGTTTCCTGACTTTCAGATTTGAGACTTGCATGGTAGTCTCCAATACTTTTCTCAAAAGGAAAATTGGAATTAAACAGAAAAAAGCCTATGCTACAATCTGATTAGTGTCAGCGCTACATCATTTCATACCTGTAGAGATTCTCTTTTGCTAATCTGTATTAATTTTCAAGGAACCCAAATAAATATTAAATAGGTCATTTTCATAGCTACAATCTATCTCATGGTCTTCTTCACCTCTTGTCGTCTGTCGATCGACAATCTAATCAATAAACCAACAACGTTTTTCAATTTCTCATATTGATAGAAAAAGTCGAGTGCTTAAAGAACAAAATCTACTAATTTGTTTTTCAACCCTAACCAAACACTTAGAACTTTTTTCTTCATTGAGAAAAGACTGTGTATCAATTGATCAAACAGTTATTCTTCTTTTGAATTAGAGAGAAATATCATAATTTTGAACAATTCAATTTCACAAATCGCTATGAATATGAAGGCCACCTTCTTTTCCTTCGGAACACTACACCCTTCACAGTTTGAGAGAGACATGCAGTATCAATACCGTGAAAAACATTGTATTTAGTAAAAAATGAGTCCATGTTACTTTTGAAAGAAGCATCTTAGTGTTTTATAAACAATGAAAGAACTCACGGAGTTGAGAGTTTTTTCTGAAGAACAGTAGTTCTTTCGCTCTAGTCACAAAACAGTTATTTCTGATGCAACTTCTGACTTTTCGAACTGATTTCAGCCTCAATCTTGATTTTAGTATGATATAAGTTTTGTGCAAGAGAGAGAGTGAAATGAATCAGGATGACATTTACTCGAGTCAAAAAACTATGTTGTCCTCAATTTCTGTTAGAAATATCGCCTCGAAAAAGTCAGAAAATAAGTCTGAGCACAGAACTGATTCACACTACGATAATTCGATTTTGTCAATATCAAATCATTATTATAGAAAGCTTTTGACGTTAAATAAAAAAGACTACATAATTGCCATTTGGCCATCATGAAAAAAGTATTCATCGACAGAACTTGGTGTAATCAAGTGAATTATGGGAATTCTTCAGGTCAGAGAAAAATATTTGGTATCCAACGACTCTCTTTGGCAGTCCAAACATATTGAACAATAGTTGCACAAGCAGGTCTCAATATTTTTGTATCAACGTCACTAGAATGGCCAGGAAAAAGACTTCATCCATTTCAGCACAACATTATTAACACTGACGAAGACCGAAAGCCGGAAGACTCATGTTATTTCGAAAATCTTCACTATGAACCGACAATTTGCATCACTCCTATCGAGTGAAGACTTTTAGCGATTAAATTTCAACATTCCATGGGTATAACCGAAATTAATAACCCGATTATTCTCCAAACAAAATCAAAATTTTAATCGATTCTAATCAACAATATCAATCAACTAAAAGAACTTTCTAATCTATTTATACTGATTATAATTAATTTTGTTGAAAAATAGCTGAATTAGTAATTTTGATTATAATTAATTGTTTATATTGTTGTACTGGTTTGTAAACAATGAAACGAAATGCAACTAAATGGAAATCTTTCCTATGCAAAAAAAAGATGAAAAAAATAGACTAAAATAAGATTTCGTCCATTTTTTTTCATGGGAATTATCTGTTCTAGTTCTATGCTATCTATTAATCTGTTTCAACCTTTGATTATATGTTAATGGATTTTAATCATCGACATTGATGATAGATGCTTCACATGTCGTGAAAATCGTAGAGATTCTCTAAAAAAATTCGCGTAAAATCGTGATTAACTGTATTTCATGAGAAACTTAATGATTTAATGAGATTTTATTGCGATCATAACAGAAGAAACGATTTTTCCAAAATCAGCGATAAATCAGTGCGATAAATCATATTTAATCACTGATTTCAATAACGGATTACAAATTGACAATTAATTAGAGAAATGCTCAAAGATTTGTCAAAATTGAGAGGTAAATATAATTTCTAAACATTTTTCAACTTTAGTTGTAGGAATTTTTAACTTAAAAGATAGATTTAGTTTCAGCATGGATATCACAACTAGGACATGAACGAGATTGGACAATTAAAAAAAACAATCGAAATGATCATATTCATTTATTTCAAAAGATGTTTTTGATAATATAAATAGTTTCAGATATATTTTTTAGATCAAATCATTTTTCAATTCGAATTTTTCAATTGTAGATTTCTTTTTTCGATTGTGTTATCGTTTAACTATAAAATATTACATGCCCGTCAAGTTTTCAATAAAGGTATTCATTAACATAAATTATGCAGTAATAGGAACACATCTATGTAACCGTAGAAATCGAGATTACATGAACAAAATGATTTCTATTCTCAATATAGTGAAGAATAATAATTAATCATAAAATCACGATTTATCACAAAAATCGTCAGAATCATTCAGAAAAATCAGCGATTTTATCGCGTTTCAGCTCACGATTGTTGTTTCGATATACCGTGGTTAATTGCCAATTTTTTCACGATTTCGAGGACATGGCTTCTATCGATATTCGAACACGAAATTCTAATTCTTTACGATTTTTTTATAGATTACTCGTGTTCAAAAACAACAAGATTGTCACTAAGCTACTCGCCGACAACTAAAATAAAGTTGAAGCTAGTATATAAAGTGTTTCAAACTAAGATGACGCAGTTACATCAGAAATCGATTTTTGATCAACTGTATAAATATTTTCATGTTTTTCTATATAGGACTTCTGTAAACATAAAGCACTTTTATAATTGGTATGTTTGTACATTGTAGGCATCTGGTGTTGGCCTTCTACTTACGAAAATAATCACTTTTACTTCATTACTAATTTCGAATATTTATCAAACATGACCCATGTTTGAGATGAACTCACAATTGGATTAAATCAGATAATAACTGAAATAATCAATGTAAATCGATAGGACAGATCAGTTTTTCTATCGATTTAAGAATTATAATCGATTTTGATCCGGTTATGTCGCAATATGTAGATGATTAGGACAAAAAATGAGATTTATATACGGCTAATAAAAAATAATCATGATTTTCTTAGAAATAGTTTTCACTGGATGAAAAAAGATGTTCATATTCAGAATGTCGACTTCATTATATTAGAGAAGGTCGAAAGAAGCATAATTCGGTAGAGCAGGGAGGAAGGATCGGAAGGTGTTCAGTACGAGAGATTTTACTGTAATAGAATGATTAATTTTCTGATCAAATTGAATATTCTCATTTTCTCAGAAAGAAACTACTCAGAATTTTATAAATCTGTGTCGGTTTATATAACGTATTTCGTTTGTCGTCTTATTTAACATTTACCCAATATTGAATTTTCACCAGATAGAATAATCAAATACTTAGAAATGAATTAAATTTTTGTTTTTATGATTTCCAATCTCCACAGTGGTAATAGTACTAAGAAATGATGGTGCTATACAAATGAAAATATCATTTTAAGTAGATAATTTTCTCTCTAACAATTGAGTATTGTTGGGCTATGTAAAATCGGGTTTAGCAGTATCTTCTGAAAATGCTTACGCTGAAGAATTGGTGATCTGTTGTGTGAATGAAGATTGAGTCGATTTTGTGGAAGACGACTCAGTCGATTGAATCTCCTCAGTCCTGTTTACGTTTGAAAATACGTTAAGTTTCGATGCTTGTGGATAAATCTAAAATATACGAACAGATCTAACTATGACTAGTCAAATTAATACTATCCTACCTTTCTGGATCCATGCTTTGGCAAATACGAACCTCTGCCTAAAATAGTAGACGTCTGCATTTAAAGAATGACGACAGTGTTTCGAAAGTAAGTTTGTAAGAGTTTAAACTGTTATCGTATTAATAACTGAGTGTCATTTTTTTCTTCAAAACGATACGTTGTTGTTGATTTTTTTTCTCTTCCTTTCATAAAAATATGAGCCTTTTCTTCAATAGTAATGCACTTACTATAAGAGTATCAACTCGACGACCATAAAGAGAATCGATTCCACTAGTGCTGAAAGGCAACTTCAACAAAGCAACAATACTATTTACTTTAAGACGAGGATAATTGCTTTTGAATCATTTCTTCTTTACACAAAGCAAAACAAAAAAGTTCGTTTCGTCAAGTATTATTTCAAAGTATTAACGGAACACCTACATTTATATGCTTCCAAAAGAAAGAAAGTCTACTACACATCATTCTGCTATAATAATACTTCTCTATTTCACAGTCATTCGAACTTTACGCGATAAAGATAAAGAGTGTTCCATGAGAAATGGCCTCGTTCCTATATTTTTTTATCTTTACCGTATTTAAAGGTGATGGCGTATTGACGATATGTTTTTGAAGAGTAACATCTAAGCTAACATCCATGAGAATCTGTATTCGATTTGCATTAATTCAAAGAAAATATTACATCAGTAAAAATATTGAAAAAATTTTACTAAAGGTTTTTTCGTCTTAAGTAAGACGCATCTTCGCGAAGAGAAAAACAAAGATCCTAAAACTTTCAATGTAGATGAGGCTCAATTAGACCTACTATCCATAAAAATTTCGTTCATTTTGGTCCAATCAAGGTAGAGGTATTCACGAAATACTGATCGTTATATAATATCAGTTTTTTAACATTCTGTAGTGGTCACTATTTCTAGAAGAATTCTACTTTGTCTGGATGTGGGTACGGATGAGGGTTGTCAGATGAAAAAGTTGAAAATCAACATAAATTAGAAATTTCCTCCAGAAATCCGAAAAAAAGTCGAAAAACTGTTTTCTCTTGTGAACAAATCTATGACATATTTTTCCACTAGCAAAATGTTTTATTCGGTTTGTGTTCATCTACACATATTATCTGAAAAGGTGTTTGATGATAAAGAAAACTAATTAAAAGAGTACACATATGGTGGACGTGGATATGGAGGCGTGTAGGTGTGCTTCTGTGCCAATTTGATCATATGTAATGTTAGCTTTTTCTGTTTTCCCATTTTCTCTCCCAAATATGCATCTAGATGTAGATGTATCTTTTATTTTTGTTTGAGTTATTTATTAAACAAAACCTCAGCAAATTACATTGTTCTTAAAAAGTTAATGAATATTGTGATAAATAAAAAACAATAGATTATTTGGCGTAGTAATAGTTATCAGACGATTCGAATTCTTCCTATTCACATTTGTAGATTGATTTTTGATAACATATTAATTCCTAGTCCTAAATACATTATTGGATTTTCTATGGAATGCAGTTGGGTTGGATTGTGACGAGATCGGATATGATCTTCTAGTAAAAGAAAGGAGTTGTGGGTAATCACGATTTAGATTGATTATTATTTTATGGTAATATTCTTCTTGGTTAAAAACGAATAACAATTATAAACACATTGAAATTTTTCTCTGAATCGGATTTCTAATCAATAGATAAAGGGTGTAGAGTGTGACTGTGGATGTGGATGAAAGAAGAAACACATCCACACCTTACGAGGCCGTATACGACCGAGAGGGATCGACCTGCGAGAGTAAATGTATTTCTCTTTGATTCATATTTCTTACTTGTACTCATTCTATGCAATAGACGCTCGAGTGTTTCGGAGTACAGGTACAGTGAAAATCAATATCCACACTCACATCCTTTCTTTATGACAATGAATAATGGATAAAACATCAGCATGATTAACATAACTAATGAATGAGGATGGTAACGAAATATACAAACATTAATAGCTTTATATGTGTTTCTTTTTATTCTAAAAAGTTGTTTTGATTTTAAAATATCAACCATGCTGAAAATTGATAAAATAGGACATAATAATATTTTTACGGTTTCTCAGTCAAAGTAGAAGATATCAAACTCAAACTTTGTAGTTATTCAGTACTACGTCTGTACAATGCTTTACCAAAGTTTCAAAATATCCTTTTATTGCATACAAGAACAATGAATTTTGAAATCGTTTAAGAACTTCTCGAATACTCTTTATTGGGATGGAGTGGGTGTAGGTATCAGTATTCATTTTACTGATATACACACATTCACACTCATATTCTATCCACATTCTATGATTTGTTATGGTCCATGATGTCTTAAAGCCTTTCGACATGCTGGTCTTTAGTTGTATCACGAACTGTGATAGGCGTAGCTAGGTGTCACCATCATAGTTTGAGTGACTCCGTCGTTTTTCATATTTTCTTATTGTGGAGATTGTGCTGGAAACTTTTTTTTAGTAGGTTCACCTTCTATTGAACATAACACTACAAAAAATATGCAATAGAAGAACAAAGCCACATGTAGGTATGCACCAGTTCAGATGTCAGTTTTAGAGAGGGAGTCTGTCAGAATCGATCGAAAATGAAAGCGTCTGGAGTTCCATTACAAAATGATCAAATCTTCTCTTGGATCATTTAAAGAGCTGAAGCCTTCAGCGGAAGTTCCTACGATGATTTGACTGAAAAAACATTCCAGCTGATTTTGTAGAAAATTGTCATCTCACTGGGAAATAGTCAGACAAAAGTTGAAAAATCTATCTGAAAATTTCCACCTGAAATTTTAACCATAGTTAGCTATCAATGACATAAAGTACCTTGAGAAAATTTAGCTCATCGTCTCATATCCATCAACAGTAGACATGTTAGTTATCAGTTTTTCGAGGCCGCTGTCGATCCTATCTAATATGAAACTCTTTTATTACCAGAAAATATCTTGCGGTTCTGGTATATCACTACGACTTACAGCATTTTGTACCAGCTCTAGTATTGTGTAGGAACTCACATAGCAACAAAACATATTTATGGCGAATATTCGAAAGGCTACTCAATGCATCCAAAAAACTGCCTGCCAGCGTCTAAGTCCCTGATTTCAGTGCGACTCATCCATCGTCGCCGTCGCCAAAAAAAAGTTGTCGACTAACATCTCTAAACACGAGATATCAGTGCCAAACGTTTTCAAACACTCCTTTTATGAATTTTGTGACATCAATGTCACCCGATACACTTAAGAGAACGAGGTGCGGATTTTTAGAGCAATCATACATTACTGCTAATGAACCGTGGCTAAAATGTGAGTTCGGGATGATGTGGTGCGTCTGGATCTTTCAATCAAATGAGTGGCTATTTATTGAAATTTACACCATCAGAATATTTTGATGGGATTGAGATAATGCGCCAAAATTATTCGAAGCTACCTTATCTTATTTATGGCTAACGGTGGTTAAAATCACAGCTCAATATGTTGACGTCTAGAGCTGAATTTTCTCGAAGGACGTTATATCATTGATAGCTAACTATGATTTAAATATCAAGTGGAAACACTCAAATAAATTTTTTGGCTTTTGTCGGGTATTTCCCAGTGAGATAACGATTTTCTACACAATGAGTTGGAAAGTTATTTCTGTGCACTACCGAGTTTCAAATTATAGTTGGAGTTTATCCTAAAGTTTCAGCTCTTTAAACAACCACACAGAAAAGTTGACAATTTTCTAATGAAACTCCAGCCGCTTTCACTTTCGACCCATTCTGACTGATTCTGATTCTGACTGTTTAGAACCGATGCACTCCTAATCACGTGACTTTAGCCGAGCTTAGCGCGAAACTCAGCCATAGAGAAGTTGGGATCAATTTTGCGACCTTTTGGTACTGCCGCCTCCTTATGTCCCAACACGCGAGCCGTAGGCACACCGTAAGCCTTCTGAAGAGCTTTAACACCTTTCACATAACTCTGGTATTGTACTTCCGGCCAGTGTGCATGTCCACTATCGGTAGCTGGCAAACCAACTCCTTCGGCCTCGATACCGATTGCATTAGAATTTCCATAGATGGAGTCATCGATGGTGTTGCCGGCATGGTAGGCACGACCTGCTGCAATGACAAACCAAGTTCCCGATCGGCCTAATCCAAGTTGTGAGACTGGACCAGCAAGACTAGGTGTACCGTCGCGAACGGTCGCCAACGACGGATAGTCACCTGTCTTTGGACCTGCCGTGTGATGAACAATGATACCTTTTACAGAAGCCATAACACCATGACCACGAGTCCTCCAACCGGCAACCTCGACCACATTGAGACCAGCGCCACGAAGAATATCGGCCAAACCTGTGAGCATCGTGTTAGTTGGTTTACTGGGACCAGGACCAGTTGAAGTAGACCCTACTGTGCAGCATTGAATATTGTTGCCACCAGGACAGAGATTGGCAGGATCAGAGGTTCCCTTACAGGTCGAAGTTGGCTGACATATGCCCGCAACACCCTTGCTATTCTTGCATGTACCATATGTGCAACACTGAATCGAATTGTCACCAGGACAGAGATTGGCTGGATCTGAGACTCCACGGTTGGCTGCACATGTTTTGGTATTAATACATTCTCCACTAAGACCATTCCTGGCCGTACATGTTCCATATTGTTGCGCAAGAGTGGTCAAAGGCAGAAACACCGCCATCATGAACTGTATAATGATCCACATTCGAATATCCTATGAGTACAAATGAGTGTTACGATAAGTATAAGTGAATAAATTATCGAATGGTCCAGATTAAATGGCGGTGCCAGTATTTTGACTATAATTTTTGTTCACTTCATTTCTTGGAGTCGGCTCTCTTCATAAAAGGAACATCGTCAAATTCTCTATCTTCTTCTACATAATTGATTTTTTAAGAGTTGTTTTCAGTAAAATTTTGAAATGTTTATTAAACATGTGCAGAGTGCCGCATTTTCTAAATGATAACACAAATACTATGTACTCGCGGTCGTTCGGATTTATAGAAAATTTTTCTTCTGCTTCAAGTGCAATCGAGCTGATCCTTCACCAAGAGATTTCCCATTCAGTTCTTCACTAGGTGTTCTGTTTCATTGATCAAATTGAATTTCCTTTAGTTTTTTTAGGTGTGAAATAGCAAACGTGTTATCGAGTGTCCGATTGCAAAATGTGTTGCTTTTCAAATTTCTTTTCTATTCTGCATCAGTCCTTTCCAAACAATGTCATTTTCGTTAAAACATGCTTCCAATTCATAGTTCTAACGCACGTCTTGCAGAAGGTAACTTCTGTAAAACAATGCTTTGAATTATGATCGAAATATGTTCTAACGAAAATGACATTGTTTGAAAAGGGCTGATGCGGAATTGAGAAGAAATTTGAAAAACAACACATTTCATAATCTGACACTCGATACTACATATGCTATTTCGCACCTCAAAAAAAACTAAAGGAAATTCAATTTGATCAACGAAACACAATACCTAGTGAAGAACTGAATAAAAAATCTCTTGGCGAAAGATCAGCTCGATTACGCCTTAAGCATAAGAGAAAATTTCTATCAATACTGACAATCTCGCGTACATAGTAGTATTTGTGTTACCATTTAGAAAATGAAACATTTTGCATATGTTTAGTAGACATGCCAAAACTTCATTAAGAATAACTCTTAAAAAGTCAATTATATAGAAGAAGATAGAGAATTTGACAACGGTTCTTGTGCGAAGAGAGCCGACTCTAAGGAATGGAGTGGACAAAAATTATAGTCAAAATAATGGCACTGCCAATTAATCTGGCTCACCTGATATTCTAGCATACCTTTATATACAGGAAAAAAAATGATGACTTTGTTATCAGGCGGCTCCTTCTCTCAATTTTGTTAATCTTATCTATGCTTGATTAGTGATTTTATCCGTCAGCTGACAATATTCCTTTGTATTCCCATGTAGCGAAAAGTGCAATTAATCCCCAATTTTTTGGCGATATATCACGCGATACTTAGACATATTATTCGATTTTTTGCGTCGATCGTGGATGTGCGTATTCGTTTCAACCATATCCACACTCATCCCACCCTCATCTCATCATCATCCCGATTCAAACTCTCACCATCATCTACCCATTCACCCACTCACTGATGCCGCCACCGAATTCTTCAAGAAAATAGAAAATGAAGAAGCTCATCTCAGATAGAAAAAAAGTGAATTGTCAGGGACTGATTGAACAATTGATCGATGCTCAAGCGAGCATGGTTATTCTATTAGACATGGATGAGTTGAAACGGTGTTAAGTTAGAGATATAGAAGTACAGGAAATAAAAAGGACCACCATAAACATTACATCATGGAAATAAGATCCTAGTGCGAAAACAACTAACTCCGCTCTTATTCGCTCTAAAAATCTAATTACTATATGAACGGAAAGAATCAGTCTTAGTAGATGCATTTGGAAACTAAAAAGAAGTCACTTTAATTTAACTGCCTAGTGTCCAACTATTTACTCACGTTTGGTTATTGAAATTGATAATTATTGTAGTATCTTGTGATGGTAGACTTGTGTGTAATTCAGACTAGTGCAGAGCTGTATTTATATATGTTTTCTATTCTTTGTTATTACAAGCACAAAAAAAGCACAAAATTGATTGATTTTTTGTTTTGAAAGCTGATCTCTTTGAAAAACAATTAGCAATGATTTTGCATGCTTAAGCATTCACAGGTATTTCATTGAAAGAAAGACTTTCACTGTAATCTATACAATATTACAAAGTGAAACATGATACAACCTATTTGGATGCGATCGATAGGGAGCTGTCTAAAAGTACGTAAAAAAGAGAACTGATTGGAAACAAGTAGAAAACTCAATTTGATCAAAATTTCTGTTTTCCGTCACTATTCCAATGATTTCAAGAAAAACTGGACAATTGAAATAGGACATGGATAATTATTTTTCTAGCAGAAAAATGATATTTCCAAATGGGAAATTGACTTCTTGGATACACTGCTTCCAGAAAACATGACGAATTATTGTGATGTCAAAGCATAATTTCAAAGTGGATAGATAAATGGTTAAATCCGATGTTTTGCATAGTCAGCAGAATTGGTTGGTGTTTATACAATTTGATATGAAATTGTTTAATGGAAACAATTAATATCAATAGATATGAATTTTCTGCAATGATTGAATACTATCGATTATAGTGTTTGTTCGTAGTAAACTTGAATATAATTTCAAAAAGTATATTTGATATTAAAATTTCCATAGTTAAAACAAGATTAATGAAAGTATAATTGAATGTTTCAAGGTGAAAATTTTATTTGTTGAGATATTGCTTAAAGAATAGTTTGAATAAGTTTATTATCGAGATGAAAATCAATAAATACGAGATCAATTTGAATGGATATGGGTGTCGGTGTCGGTGAGGGTATGACTAAGGATGTAAAGAGAACACATATCCATACGCATACCCCACCATCTTCTATATATATTGAAATATTAGATAGAAATTATTACGAATTGAGTCTTAACCTTTGTATCTCAAATTGAATGGTTTTGATTCTTTCATTTAATAATAAATAAATTCTAAACATGCCTGATGAGTTCCTCTAACAAGGACAAAAACGTTGTATTGTGCTTTGAATCGATGTAAAAATTGAGTTTTTAACACATCCATACCAAACGATGACTTTCTAAGCAATAATAGAAACGTGTCGTATTATGCTTTGAATCTATTCTTATTTAACACACCCACACACACTCGAATGACTCAAAAAAAATCAGTAATGCTCGAATCAACTCGATCAAATCAAATAAGAAACACTACTTTATTTTTTTTAGATGGCTCTGATCCTTTTATCAATTTCTAATGAAGCCAATATTGAAGAGAAATGAAATGTCGAATACGTAACTTTGTTAAGCAAATCATCGAATAGACTCAAGAATGAGAAAAATTTCTACGCACAGAAATCAACAATATTCTAACATATTCTTTTATTGCACTGATTTTGCCGATCAATTCACTGTTCACAGTAGAATAAAAAATGAACTATAAATTGAAGTATTTCTCTAGCTTGAAGCTAATTTTGGAAAAGGATCACAAAGTGCATCTTATTATCTCATCGTAATTTGGCAGTATCGACTGAGCTTTGTAAAGCCATTTTATACATCTATCAATGCCATCAAAAAAAAATTGTCCTTCGACGATGAGTGAAAAAATCTGTTCGTTATTTCAAAGGATTTATTTTTCTATTATCACTTCATGAGGATCTAATTTCACTGATGAAGGTAATATAATTGAATTTAGATCGTTTTACATTCGTTTATAATTAAAACTTTCTTCGCTTCCTAGCATTCGTAATCCTCCTTATAAAATAATGCATTTTGATTGTCGCCATCCTTTTTATTCGGATCGAAACAGAGGTGCATTTTGGTAAAAGAAATTGATCATACGGTATACAAAATGAGAAACTTGGCATCGTTGATTCTTTTCGTTGTCTGTTGGATAACTGGAGTTCTTCTTGGGCAAATAAATGGTGAGTACAGTTGACATGTTAGTTTTATGAAATGATAACAGAAAAGGCAGCAGCGATAATCGACTCTATACTAGAAGCACAATTTGTGCAAGATTCGATCATTAGATTGACAATATTCTTGATTGATGAAGTTCTCAGAAATTGATATGCAAGAATAAGTTATACTCTCTGGATCAAAATAAATCATATTTCTATTTTTTTCCTATCATTTTCCTAGTAATTATATAATTTGGTTTCATTTTTAGATTTCAAATACATGATTTTTAGTACTCTATGTACAGAGTTGTGTATAACGTTTTATTAGGAGAGGAGTGAGTACAGCTCAAACTTCAACAAAACATTTAAAGCTGAATTTTATACAAAGTACATTTCAAAATCTTAGGGATACAGGTCGACACTTTCATGATTAGTCAACATCAAAATAGAGTTCTCAAGAAATTTACAATCAGAAGAGAAAAGAAAAAAATCATCGATCCACTTTTTATAAGATTGGGAACATTATGAAATAGTCCCAACAAACAGCATGAGGGTGGAATTAAATTGTTTATTGAATCGAAAGACTAAAATAAATTGGTAGATAGTCCAACTTATTGGAGACAATCATTTTTTAACACAAGCTTTCATAAGTAAATAGCTTGCTGATCAATTTCGAAGAATGAGATCAGTTAATAGTTTTAGCTTTCTTTTATTGTGATTGAAATTTGACTTTTCAACTTTAAAGATATATTTCAATTGATTTCATTCATGTCTGTTTTGAACTATTAATGTAGTTTTGTCGACTAAAACTGTTTGTTAAGAACTGAGTCAGAAAAATTGAAATCAATCAAAATCTATATCTTCAAAATTGAAAAACTAGATTGTTTTCTATTTTCCGATTTAATAATTCCTTCTTGAAAATAGAAATAAAGTCCTGACTGCCTAGTTCGATGAAAATTTTGGCCCACTCGGTCCAGAGAAATAATCTGTTTGGATTAGAATGGATTAGGAATTATTCTTGAAATTTCGAATGTAGAAATCGATCTAAATTTATTATTTGATTTATGAATTATGTCCTTTGTAAAAAAAAAAAACGTCCTCACCTTAATTCAACTGATTCGAATAAAGTATCAAGAACTCGTACATATCAATCTGGTTCGAACTGCAGGACTAGATTCAAGTCGACCTGTTACACTCTTCGCATAGATCTAGATCCAATCTAGTTAATTATTCTGCTATTTGTCTATTATAGCTCAAATTGATACATGTCCAATACAATGTGTGAATACGCTGGGTGGAAGGACATGCATTGGAAGATCGTCAATGTGCGATGGAACTCGGTAATTTTATTTTTTGTTTGTAAACTAAACTGATATGGTCTTTTTTTTGTCTAAAGGGATTGTATGGATGGAAGTGATGAAGATCCAAAATATTGTGGTAAGATTCAGCATTTATATTCGTAAATTTCTTCATTATTGTTGCATGAGAAACGTAGGTGTCAGCTGTAGTTCAAATGAAATTCGTTGTACGAATTCGACTGGTGGCCGATCATGTGTATCTAAATTATCAATGTGCAATGGAGTTCGGTAATTTTCATTATTATGTGATATTAAAAATAATTTCTCTATTTTCAAAAGGGATTGTGCTGATGGAAGTGATGAAGATGTAAACTATTGCAGTAAGAATAAATTTTAACTTGATCTCGATTTTGTCACAATGACTTTTGTTGAAATCTAGAAATGAATTGTAATTCAAATGAACTCCGATGTTTGAGTTCTGCTGGTGGTCTATCATGTATACCTAAAACATCAATGTGTAATGGTGTTCGGTAATCTTATCTTTATCTTACCATTTAAATTAATTTCTATATATTTATAAAAGGGATTGTATTGATGGAAGTGATGAAGATCCAAAGTATTGTAGTAAGATTCAAAATTTATTTTTGTATACTTTTTCATCATATTTTCTTGGTAAACTTAGCTATTAGTTGTAATTCTGGTGAAATTCGATGTGTGAATCCAGGCAATGGACGAGCATGCGTACCTAAAGCATTCGTGTGTGATAAATTCAAGTTAGCTATATTTCTATTTTGATATTTGAACTGATTTCTATATTTCTGAAAGGGATTGTGATGATGGAAGTGATGAAGATCCAAAGTCTTGCAGTAAGATTCAATTTTGATCTTTTCTGAAATTCTTCACCATGATTCATTTTCAAAATGTAGTTGCCAATTGTAATTCGGATGAAATCAGATGTGTGAGTCCAAGCAATGGACGATTATGTGTACCTAAAACATCAGTGTGCAATGGCATTCGGTAATTGCATTTCTGTTTTACAATCTAAAAATCGATTCTTATTTTTCTAAAAGAGATTGTGTTGATGGAAGTGATGAAGATCCAAAATATTGTGGTGAGATTTTCAGATTTTTTTTTCTTAATATCTTTCACATCTATCACGCAAAAACTCTAGCTGTCACATGTCCTGCAAACGAAGTACGATGTGTGAATCCAAGTGGCGGGCGAACATGTGTACCTAAATCATCAATGTGCGACGGCAGTCGGTAATTACATATTTGTTTGATTAACTATAATGATATCTATGTTTCGAAAAGGCACTGCAATGATGGAAGCGATGAAGATCAAAAGTATTGTGGTGAGATTTGATTTTCACTTAAATTGAATATGTTTGATATGCTTTGCTTGAAAACCTAGCTGCTGGTTGTCTTGCGGGTGAAATGCGATGTGTGACTCCAGGTGTTGGACGATCATGTGTACCTAAATCATCAATGTGCGATGGCATTCGGTAATCTTATCTTTATTGCAGCATTTAAATAAATTTCTATATTTCTAAAAGGGATTGTGCTGATGGAAGTGATGAAGATCCAAACTATTGCCGTGAGATTTTACATTTTTGTTAGCTAATATTTTGAAAATGTTTTCTTGAAAACTTTAGCTGTAAACTGCAATTCGGGTGAAATTCGATGTTTGAATCCCACTGGTGGTCTATCATGTGTATCTAAATTATCAATGTGCAATGGTGTTCGGTAATTTCATTTTCATTTCAGTATTTAAATCGATTGTTATATTTCTAAAAGAGACTGTGCTGATGGAAGTGATGAAGATCCAAAGTATTGTGGTAAGATTCAAAATTTATTTTTCTACACTTCTTTACAATGATTTCTTTGGAAGTTTAGTTGTTAGTTGTAATCCAGGTGAAGTCCGATGTGTTAATCCTGGCGTTGGACAATTGTGTGTTTCGAGATCATCGATATGTGATGGAACTCGGTAGTTTCATTTCTTTTTTTCACAAGTTAAAGCAATGTCTGTTATTTTTTTGCTTTTTGTCTAAAGAGATTGTGCTGATGGAAGTGATGAAGATCCAAAATATTGTGGTGAGATTTAACAATTACTGCTTTTTAATATAAATAGAATACTTACCTGATAAATCTAGCTGCCACTTGTAATACTGGTGAAGTTCGATGTGTAAATTCGAGCACTGGTCGAACATGTGTCAGCAAGTCATGGCTGTGCAGTGGAGGCCGGTAATTTTCGTTATCATGCAGTCTTAAAAATAATTTCTTTTCTTTCGAAAGGGAATGTGCCGATGGAAGTGATGAAGATCCAAATTATTGCAGTAAGAATATATATGTTTACTTCATCTTGACTTTATTAGAATATCTTCTGTTGTAACTGAGCAGCTAATTGTAATTCGGCTGAAGTTCGATGTTTAAATCCAGGCAATGGACGACTCTGTGTTTCGAAATCATTGATGTGTAATGGTGTTAGGTAATCTCATCTTTGTTCCAATATTTGAATCCATTCAAATCTTTTTAATAGTGATTGTGCTGATGGAAGTGATGAACATCCGAAGCATTGTGGTAAGATTGAATTTAAATTTTTGTATAACTTAGCAGCAATGACTTTGTTGGAAATCTAGCTTCTATTTGTAATTCGAATGAAATTCAATGTGTAAATCCAGGCAACGGACCATTATGTATATCTAAGTTATCTATGTGTAATAGAGATAGGTAAGTTACATTAGAAAATACTCTATCTACTATCTTTTTTCACATGCTTATAGAGATTGTGCAGATGGAAGCGATGAAGATCCGAGTTATTGTAGTAAGTATAACAATTATGTTATTTACTATGTGTAACTATATGTATTGAAGACTTACCTGTGACATTACCAATGACTACAACAAGTTTTCCATTCACGACGATGGCGACAAGTAAATGTTCATTTGTTTTAGCTTTTTCTTTTTTTTCTGTATGTTAAGACAAGATGATGAATCTATTATTTTGAGATTTTGAAGTCGTTTTTCAGATTGATGAGTTCATTTTCTATGTTTTATTAGAGTTTCGATTCACTCATGTTCAGATAGCATCGTTGCCTTGTAGTTGTATGTATTTTTGGTGAAAATGTAGTATTTATGTGTAAGTCCTTTGTCATTTGATTGTAGCCATCGAAGACAGAGAATTATTAAAAATGAGGAAAAACTAATTTCAAGCAAAAAATGTCCTTAACATGCAAAATATCTAAATTGTTCCCCGATATATTCAGAAATGATCCAACTTGCTACATATGTAGGATTGCGGTGTAGTTTCAGTATTTTTAGAAAGGTACGAAATGTGTTCTGAAGTACAGTTTTAACGTGACATTTTCTTGTCTCAACTGTCAAGATGAAATAAGATACTAAGCTCTAATTTGTTTTTCAGTATTTTTCTTATTTCAAGTGATTTAAAAAAGATAGAAACATGTTTATTCAACTAGTTGCATAATCCTTCAAATTTTATATTAAAGTTTTAAATTCATTCTACTGTTACTTTTAGTTTGTTGGTCGAATCCCTGTCGGAATGGTGGCACATGTGTGCCAATAAATAATAATTTGGATTATTATTGCATTTGTCCGTCAAATAGTTTGCTGACTGGCAAGAATTGTGATCAGATATTGTCAAC